TTGAACTTAGATAATGATTGTATTTCACGAATGTCCCTTGGTAAAAGATTCCAGTCCCTAGCAGCAGCACATTTAAAAGTCGTTTGACCCATTTTGGACTTAGTCGCAATGATATCTAATAATGTGGAATCTCTAAAGTTCCTATTATGAAAGGATRACCTCTTAAAGAGATAGCCCTCTAACTGCTGTGGGCAATTTATATTATGTATAATCTTAAATGCAAGCTGGAGTCTTAAAAATCTACGTCTACTCTCTAGAGACAATAGAGAAATGTTAAAATGTTTTTGCATCATAAAATGTTTTTTTATATCTCTTACAGTCTTCTTCATAGTCTTCTTGAAAATATCCATCTTCGTACTCAGCCTGCAGAATCGCTGCCAAAGAGCACAAAGTCTACAAAAAAGAACAAACATATATGGCCTCAATAATTTTTGAAATATTTTTTAATAATTTCAAGCTGAATAATAAATACCATTGCAGCTGGGATCTTTAACCCTCTCTTTTTATGTGAAATTTCAATTTAAAACTCTAAATAATCGTTTCACCTTCCAAAAATTTACCAATATTAGAAATCCAAAAAATTCGTCAAGCTTCTTTTATTGGGTCAAGTTCTGGTTTGTCATTTTAGGGGAGTGACATTCTAAGTGCATATGTTTCAAGAGTTAAGTTTGCAGTTTCTTAAGTTTGATTATTTGCAAACCACAACAACATATTTTACATAATAATTATCAAATAACCCTGTAAAATAAAATTTAAAAAAATCAACATAACAATGAAAGAAGAATGGAAGACGTAGAAGATAAGATGAGAAGTCTGCGCATAAACGCTTAACTTACCAAGAGAACGAAATAAGCCTTCATATTCTAGGACGCTTACAGCATTAAAGCCTTCCTCGAAATACTTCGAAAGGTGTTGTCTTGCACAGTTAAAACATCCTACAAGGCGCTAAAGATATCGATAACGTAATTTTAGAACCGCATCATTTCATTTTCCTCATAGTTTAGATTTTGAGCCAAATATATCTTAGGGTTAAATGGGAACTTAATCGCATATATTATTGAGTCTAAGAACTAAATTTAAGCACGTCCATCCACTCTACATTCAAGTGCACAGTTCCTCTTTTATTTGAATGACTGAATACAACTTCTCTCGGCTATATCGACCCTTGAGAAGCAAGGTTCTGGAATGCGTAAGAGACTACTTAACGCTCTATATGAAATTAAGTTTGAAAATACAAAATCTATTCAAAGCACAACCTATCTAATTTCCAAAAAAATGAAAAGAAAACTATTACACAGATATACAAAAAAAAAAAAAA